TTTGAAAAACTTTCGAAAAAAAAGTTGTAATGGTTTTCTAGCAACTCATTTTCACGAATTTGCAACATATTAAACAAGTTTTAAAATCACAGACAAATCAGTTTTGATATATTTTAACATGCGCTTGAATATCGTAAAAACAATTTTTGGTTTTAAAGCTTTATTTTTGAAAATGAAGGCAAATATTTCAAAAACGAGCTGTTATTCCTAAACTGTAAAAACAGTAAAATATTTGTTTAAAACGCTTGTCTCGAAAATGGATCATTGGAAAATTCCAAGAAACTATAAATATAAAAATTGCAACATTTTATTTTTCGCAAAAGGTGACTTCAGCTCTCGAGCAGTAAGTAGTGAATATGAAGTGTTCATCATTAATTACGAGAATTATTAAAGCTCTATCTTTACATAGAACCAATTAACATTGGTTTATTAGTTTGAGCCAGGAATTTCTCCCATAGATTGACAGTTAAAATTTTATTTTAATTATTAATGTATTACCTCTTATATAAAAATATCCTATAATCGTTTCAAGTACCATGCAATATTAACTTTGGCAATTGGCATCCCCATTTTGTATAAACTGGAAAATTTGAATCGAATTTTAAGTAAAGGACATTTAACATCATTTCTTGAGCTTCAGGTAGTCAGTTTTTATATATTTCTGTCGTGTATATTTCAAGAATCAGCTAGAATTTCCTTACACATTAAAATGGAAAACCTCCACTATATAATGGCTGCATTTTTTATTAAAAATAAAAACTTCAGGTAACTATTGTTAGATGCTAACGGATATTATTCTAATTACAGTCTGCTACTCTCAGTTCCAGTACGCTTGGTATTCTTTACCATAGAAGTTATCGTTGGCAGGGTGACTTCATCATGTGAATACATAACGTTGTCAACTCCATTCAGTTCTTTTGAAGTAGGAGGTGGAGCTTGGACACCTCCAGGCATCAGAAATACAGTGAAAAAGAACATCAAAGAACCTAAAATAAGTAATACTTATATTGAGCATATATATATACCAAAAATTTATTGGAAAATCTATGGAAATTCATTACTGTACGTGTTTCTCACCTAAGTTATCCACATTCTATCAGAAACATTAGTAACAGAAGTTAATGCAAATGTATAAGTTATCTCCACTTTATTCATTAACGTCATGTTTAATAACAAATAGAGTTTGATGAGAAAGCATTAGATTCATTTAAATCTATCAGAATGATCCCATATACATATATACAGGGTGGTTCAGTTTAAATCGTCAAGAATTAAAAACAATCAAGAAAATCCGAATATTTTATATAAACTGTGCTTAAAAATGTTTCGCAATTTTTATTAATTTTTGCTGAATTGGAAATACTCAACCCTTGCAGATAAGGAGTAAAATTATTAGAGTAACGGATCGTTAATCATAACTATATTTTTATTGTGGATTTTTATTTTAATCAGTTACGTCCCTATGATCAAGTACAAGAACAAAGTTCACAACACATATATATGCATCTTACAAATAAAAACAGTGTTTTCAGTTTTTTGCTTTTAAAACTTGATCGTTTTCCATAGTTAATTACCATCTTATATTATTATATACTTACTTATTAAATAAAAAGCAACATAAAATATGTACAAGCTTTCTCTGTATCCAATTGCTTTGGAAACTGGTTCAACGGCGATTGGAAGATTTCCTCCAATATTGTTCATAACAAACAAAAAGACGCCTACAGTTGTAGAACGTACGTGTAGAGGCACTATTTCCACTAGTATAGCAAACAGGATTCCAAACCACATTTCAGCTAAAATGAAGGTTTTATCAGAATTACAGTTGGCACGTGAATTTGTTCCTGTAAACGAACAAATCTTCTAAACTAGCTCCTTCAAAGTTCTTCCCATCCAGAAAATGTGCATACGGAGTTTTATCAGTTTGATACCCAATTTACCAGTCAAACTTGTTTCAATTAAATTCAAAACAATTTGATTTACCGAATCTACTAACTGGATTTACCGAATCTACTTTTCAATGCGCAAAAATCTTTATAATTGAAAATTTGTGTTTGAAATATTTAATTGCAGATTTTTTTAAACAGCAATAATAAAATTGATTTACTAAATTTAACAAATTTAATAAACCTAAAGCAACTACTAACTCAAACTATGCTTCAAACTAGGCGCCGTCGAAGTTACAATTTTGATTTCTTTAGAGCAAATACCACTCAAAAAGTTGATATATAAAACAAAATAAAAGGGCTGCAAATTGGTCTTATCCTTGGTACAAGCTGAGCATCGAAGAAAATGCATCAATTCTGGTTGAATTTCTATGATGGTGTGTACCATGTTTCATTAATTTCCCGTTATGGACAACTTAGTATAAATTTGGCAATCACTGAAGATAACAAATTACATGTAGTTTTCTGTAACAGTCAGGTTCATTTTTGCCAAACCACTAGTATTGTAAAATTCTTGCTGTATAAAGTATATTATATGATTGATCAAAAAGGGAAGATATATAAGGAAGATCGGGTATAACTTTAGCATTTTTACATGTTATTTTTTTATATTTCCGTATAGCTTAGGTGTTTCATTGCAACCTTACTATGTGCTATATTAGGATTTTTATAATTTAATATAAAGGAAAAGATACATGCAGTTTATTTAGTTATTGTTTCAAATTGACCCATTCATGGGACAGTTGTAACACCTAAGCAAACCATGATATTTTCGATTAAAAATGTGCCTACATATAGGTATTGAGTGATATTTTGAATTTTTATAGCGTTGCAAGAAACCTGTTCATTTTGAAAGTGTAATAAGTATGTATGAAAGTCACTACTTAAGTCTTAGTTAAAAGTCTTTCATTTCCCCCAGCGCAATTCAAACAGAAAAAGTGTAAGAAGTAGTTCATTAATCTACTTCTTACATTGGCTGGGGCTTTTACAGTACATTTGAAGACAATAGGGACAGAGTCGATCTTCAGTTTCATCATCTGAACTATGCAAATGTTATTTCTGGTATTTCTCATCTTTGAATTTTTCTTTTTGTATCCATCTCTTTTACAATTCTGTATATTCTTTCTTTCGCTCAGTTTGATTTACGGTTTCTTAAATTTGTTATTCTTGTAGATACTGCTTATCTGGATTATTTGCGAGAATAAAGCTTTGCTTTTTTACCTCATTTTTAAGCTATAATCCAAAATATATTGCTGCAATAGCAATATAAATACTTGCAACAAAAATACTTGCTCCTTTTTTTAAAAGAAGATCGATGTATGTAACGGTTTAGTGTCTCTTGAAAAAAGTTATTTAATTTTTTTTAAAGGATTTTAATTCATTACAACACTTGGAGCT